GTCGTCGTAAAGCTTTGAACATTGGTTGGCGTAGATGTGGGGATCTCGTTTAAAGATTTTAAAAGTAATTGGGGGATAAAATAACAGGAATGGTTCTAGAATTCGACCATGGTGCTGATAAAATTTTGGGACTTTTTTCCAAAATTCTTCACGAAATATATCGGAGTTTCGCCTTTCTAAAGGATAATCTGAAAATGTTTTGTTTTTGTCTCCGAATTCTATAATTCCGTCTATGGGAACACCACCTTTACAACAACTCGATATAATTTTAGGATTATAAAATTGAATCAAAAGTATGTAAAGCTCTCTAAAAGGATCTCTAAGCTGATCTTTTCTTCTTTTTTGTTCCGCTTCATCTAAGTGAGTTATAAACATTAATTTGTGTAAATAATTAGGCGAATTAACTATTTCTTGATGCCGTTCGTAAATATCACATGTTACAACGGTTAATACTTTTAATTTAATAATTCTTCCAAGTAAATCAATTGGTAAATCTTTTCCTCTTTGCAAATATTTCCTGGCATCGTTACAAGCAGTTCTTATAATTTTCATTACAAATTCATCAACATGTAAATTTTTAATCTCGTAACTGATAATAAAATCGTAAAGGTCATTCATCGATATAAATTTTAAGGTACCTTTGCCATCAGATTCACTATGATATTTTATCATTAATAATTTTTCTAAATCACTTGCAGTTTTTTCAACGACCAACAGCACATGAACTCTTCTTTTGTCATGAATATCCGATAATGAGATGTTTTCTACAATTTTCTGCCAACCGTTCACACCATCATCTCCGTGAGACATTATAGTAAAATTGATGCCTTTAATAATTTAAAATGATAAAAAAAATTATTAATAATTGTGTACACACGTTGATTTTGACAAATACATTTGACAGAAATCGAACAGAAACCTCTACAATGATTCTCTTGGTCCTATAGTTAATGTTGTACAAGTAGGTTTTCGTTGGTTCATTTATCAGGTTCCACGTAATAAAACTTGAAAGGGAATGGTCAAAATGACGGTCTTTCTAAGCGCCGCCAACCCATTGTTAACGGACGAGATGAATTATGTATGCATACGGAGATCGTATCCATAAATTCCATTTGCTTCACACGGCGTATTTTGATTTAGTGGTCGTATAACGAGATGATCATCACAAAACTTTAACTGCACCAAGAACAAGCTCGTTAAATTATGCATAATAGATGTCACAACCAACCATTTTATAGTTTATATCTTTTGTTGTTTTTAATTCATCGTACTTAATTTTGATATACGCATTCATCACGATGCAATCGAATAATTTAAAACTATCACGTCATAGCTTTTAAATAGATACTTTCAGAATATCTGTGCTTAATACACTTTAAAAAATAGATATTATTTTGTGACAACAAAGAATATGGTTTCACTTATTTATAAAAAAAAGTGTTAAAATAGATTGTTGATTAATTAGCATACAAATCATCATTTGATGTTTTTGACTGTCATTCGTCATAAAGAATTGTTACATTAATTTCATTCAGTTCTATTATGTTGACAGACCATGATTTAATATAATCACCCTATAAATCAGATTAGACCAAAACAAAGGGATCAATCGCTCAGGTTTAATAGAGTCCAACCTCACGGAGTAACCAACGACTACCTTAATGTTGTTTGTTAAACTTTGTACAAAAGAGGTTTATCACAAAGAGTAAATTGAAGAGGTCGACAATGATTCAATAAGATTTCTGGTAACAAAGTCCATACTGTGGGCAGTCAAATCACAAAATAAAACACAAAGTGTTATTAACCATTTAAACAAGAAATCCGTTATTGTTGAAGCAATGGACCAACAATCTTCACTTAATGTTGCAGGGGATATGATATAATATGATATTTTGGAAGTTAAGCAACGACTTTAGTCTTAAATTGAAAGTAAAAGATTTTAGCTTAGCTTTGTATTTGTGTAAAAACTGAAAATTTAAAAAAAGAAACTTTTAAAGTTGTCGCCATAAAACAAAGCTAGGTGTAGCTTTGTTTAGATGATTATAAGCCATCTTAATATATAGAAAAATGTAAGAAGCTTGAGGTACTAATGAAATAAAATCGACTAATCTGCTTTTATGGTCACAAGTGAATAAAGAAAAGCAATCGAATTTCTTGTAGTAGTCTTCAGGGTGAATTGAAGTTAAGTAAGAAGTTGTACTTACATAATTGTGACAAATTCAAGTTTATTTGTTTTGCAAAATAGTATTGAACACAAAAATTGAAGTGAATCCTAAAATCACACATCAACTCTAGAAAAAATGTTTCAACGTTAATTTCAGAAAGTTTGAACAGAAACAGTTTTGGAACATAGTTAAGAAGCTGAAAGGGGCAATACGATGCAAAAACATACTGAAAACATGGGAGGACAACTACGCTGCAAGATATAAAGAAGGAGAAAAGGAAGAAGATACTGAACAAAGGATAGTGACTTAAGCCCAAAATGGAAAGCTGGGGGCGATGATAACATACCACCAAAGCCACAAAAAAAATGGGGGTCAGCAGTAGAACGGTGGCAGAAAAGATATTCCATCAGGCTTAGAATATATGAAAAAATACCCCAAGAACATAATCGTGAGAAACCACAAAATGAAGAAACGACTAACTACGAAAATTACAGGGCAGTAACTAGTTTGGCTTAAACTAGTTTTAAGGTGGTTTTAAATAAGTTTTAGAGTGAAAACGTTGTTGAATATCACATGCCTGTCCTCTATATTTGGCACATATCAGACCTTGGATGATCGAATTTGATATTAAAGTTTGCACGAAAGTAACGTTGGTAGAAATGAAGACTTATATACTCATGTGATGATATTCTGACACAGTTCATCAATCCAGTGAAATAATGCAAAATCTTTTCCACATGTTCGGATATGTTCTTGACGTCTCCGAAGTTAAAAGACAATGGGGCCGTTACACATTTTTTTTATTTGCTTATTCGATAGTTTAGCAAAATTAAAAGCTCTTCTACTTTCAATCTTTGAAACACTATCGTCACTATTTGGTGTATAATCGTCGGATGAACCTGAAAATGTATCAAATTCCTGGATATCTCGACTACTGTTGGAGATATGACGAAATGTTATAGAAGGAAAGTTGCCTCACACTTCACACTCTATTATATGGCATATTCAAAAAAGCAAGTGGGCATCAAATGTGTTTGATATAGCGAATACATTTGAAATTTTAAATGGAATTTTAATACGTATTATAAAACAATAAATAAATCTAGTTACAACGATAAATCACATTGTTTGTAAAATGCTCAGAATCCCGAGCGTTACTATTAACAATATAGAAAACTATGAATTCATATAATTTTCATATTATCGTATTTTTCTCAATATTTATGCATCTGAATAAAATTTACTGCAAGTTTTGTTGTACGAGGTTTTTTATAGTATGCTCCGAATCCAGACAGTTTTATCATGAAAAACTTCTTCATTTTAGTCGCTTTAAATGAGAGTGTCTCTGGAAGTCGTGGCATAAGTTTAATCATAAATACTGGAGTAAAAATGGTGAAGATTCGTATAAAATTTTTAGTCTAAATCTAAACCTTGAATCTTTATGTGAATAACTTGAAAACGATCAAAAAATTTCTAAGAGTAAATAATTTTAAAATGAAATAGACTCTCAGAATCAATTGGAAAATTTAACGGTATATGACATAATGAAAAAATGTTTTAAGGAAGTAACCTTTGCGAACATTCTGTATAGTATTGATCCCGTAGTTGCATAGTTTCAAAAGTGATCTTAAACGATTTTTTATGATAACATTACACTGTTTGCCAAATTTAATCTTTCTAAGACAAACCATATTGAAAATAATTAAGAAAAAGTTTAAAAATTTCTTAACTTTGTAGGTCCATATCTTAGCCATTTATGGGTTTAGACCAAAAATGTGTACAGAAATTATAATCATTTTTACTTACAAATATTTGTGATTAAAATTATGCCACGACTTACAGATACACCCTGTATTAGAATGTTAGTTTCTTACCTTTGTTTGAAACTCAAAAATATAGATTATTGCTGTCAATTACTTCCTTAGACAACACCTTATTGATCAAATTAAAAATATTTCTGAAATCATAACCCCGGCTAATAGTCTCCGTTTTATAGAATGGCATAAAAGTTGATGTTCTAATTACATTTCGTTTGATAAGTGTCATTTCCTAATTCATAAAGACATTGTTTTGGACAACTTTTTCAATCGCGAGACAAAACCGTTATAGATTTTAATCTATAGTTTCAGATTTATAGTTTAAGCTTGTAATCAACACTTACCCAAGAGACTAATGTAAAACCGTCTATGTTTAGAGATTCTATGGTAGTCACCAAGCAATCAAACAAACAGCACTGATTTTCGCCAGCGCAAGTATATTTACGATCGAACATTAAGTTTCTGCAGTTTAAGAAAAAAAATTAGAATGAACTATAATAGTGCTATAACATCTTTGCAATTTAGAAATCTTTTCAAACAAATCGTAATTAACCCTAATGAAAGGTTTATAAATAAGTGTCATAATTTATAGTTTATCTTCATAGATGTGTCATCAGCATGAATGCAAATGATTATCCATTCATGTATTACACGTCTAGCTTGTTTACATCCAACTATTTATAAATAGAATTATAATGCAGTAGCCATCTAATAACTGACGTCTTCCTATTTGAACTCATTTGCATGGTACGTGCCGACGGACCATTCTTCGCTATGAATCTGTAATGTTTAGAACTGGCCTCTGGTCGAAGCCGCGTATTTATAGATGGAGATGCAATTAAAGGGTTGTCCGGGCTACGGTGGGCTTCGTGTGCGATCCACCGGGCATGTGTTTGACACGTTTGATTATTCGTCCGTTCGAACGACGGATGGCTTAGAATTGACCGCGCTTATTAAACAAATTCCAATCATAATTATATTACAAGAACTTAAAAGATCTTTTATATTGTTGTTTTAGCACGTTCGACATCATAGAGATCGATTTAAACGACAACAAGGTGGTCAGCTTTATCTACCAGGAAGCTATGTAACCGATAATGATGAACCAGATGCCGGTCCTTGGCTGGACTGGTCATCGCCTAGTCCGTGCACCAGGACATGCGGAGGTGGTGTATCTACGCAAGAGAGGCAATGCACTTCAGGGTACTCGTGTAGGGGTCCGATGAAGAGACATTTCTCATGTAACACGCAGGTAAGACGGTTGCTTCGTACTTTTAGTATAACTCTAAAACCCACGTGGGTGTTGAATAACTAACTTAACATGAATGCTTTACAATGCCCACGTAAACTAGAAGTTAATGTAAGTAGTTAAATTAGTTTTGAATACAATAGAACGAAGGAAGTGATACCATTTCGAACAAATATTTTTTAGGATTGTCCAGATTTAGCAGATTTTAGGTCACAGCAATGTTCGGAATACGATGCGATACCATTTGAAGATGTCTATTATCAGTAAGTTTTTTGAAACCTTAATGATCACGATTTAAATTTTTTAAAATAACAGATGGGTCCCTTATACAAAATCTCCACAACCTTGTGAATTAAATTGTATGCCACGAGGTGAAAGATTCTACTACAGACACAAATTACAAGTAATTGATGGTACGAGGTGTAATGATGAATCCTTAGACGTGTGCGTGGACGGAGAGTGTCAGGTGAAAGAGATTTCGATCAATCCGGTTCGATTTTAAAGATTTTTATCTCGTTTAGCCTGTTGGTTGCGACATGATGCTTGGGTCCAGCGCGAAAGAAGACAAGTGTAGAGTGTGCGGAGGCGACGGCAGCACCTGTAATACCTTTACTGATTTATTGGATATGCAAGATTTGCAGGCTGGTAAGAAAACTAAAAAAATTAAATAAGATTAAAATCTTCATTGTTTTAATTAATTTTTTTTTTGAAAAGGTTATAACGATATCTTATTGATACCAGCGGGTGCTGTAAACATCAAAGTAAGGGAAATCGCGCCGTCAGACAGCTACTTGGGTAAGATAAGCGGAAGTTATTACCAGTAAATTTATTGTATATTTACAAAATTCCTTTGGTGTTATAACATACGGCGACCTATAGTGAGTTATTTATTTTCTCAGCTGTCCGAAACACATCTGGATATTACTATTTAAATGGCAACTGGAGGATTGATTTTCCCAGGACTATAGATTTTGCCGGATCAAAATTTCATTACGATCGTTATCCTCAAGGTTTCAGTGCTCCCGATAGCATTACATGTTTAGGACCCACTGAAGAAGCGTTATTCATAGTTGTAAATATCAAAAAAGATACATAACATTTTTATCATAATTATTTATCGATTTACCATATTTTTTAGCTTTTATTTAATCAAAAAGATAATGTAGGTGTTGAATACGAATATAGTACACCGAAAACAATTCATCATTTAGAAGATCCAGAAACTTATGCTTGGACATTTGATCAATTTACAACATGCTCTGCATCTTGTGGTGGAGGTAACTAACTTTGACCTAATATGGTATAACAAAGACCTAATTTTTTTTCGTAATATTTAGGATATCAATACAGAAATGTTACGTGTGCTGGAAGAATGTCTCTTGAAGAAGCCAGCGCCAATTTATGCGATGTCAACAACAAACCCGTTGAATCTCAAAGATGCGGCGAATCTCCTTGCGATCCAATGTGGGTAGCAAAAGATTGGGAAAAATGTTCAGAATCCTGCGGAGAAAATGGTGTTCAAACCAGAAAAATATATTGCGAACAAATTATCTCCGGCGGTGTTCCTAGTATCGTTGATGACCAACAATGTACTAACATTCAAAAACCGCCTTCACAACAACCCTGTAATCAAGGAGTGATTTGCGCAGAATGGCACACAGGACCGTGGAAACCAGTATTTACCTTTACTTTTTCCAAAATATTATTTTCTCATTATAATCGTTTTTAGTGTAACAAATTGTGTGGTAAAGGCAAAGAAACCAGAAAAGTAACCTGCTTCCGTAAAGAATCAGACAAAATCATAGCTTTACCAGATTCCGACTGTACTATGACTGAAAAACCAGTAACAGAAAAAGAATGCATGCTTCGTCCTTGTGAAGGAGTTGATTGGGTTACTTCTGAATGGTCCGGGGTAAGATGAGTTTTCCAACAAACAATTTAAAAACTTACCAAATATTTTTCTTTAAGTGTGAAGATAAATGCGGTTTAAGTGAAGAAACGCGATTTGTAAAATGTGCAACTGCAAGCGGAGATGTTTACGAAGATAAACTTTGCGAAGAAACCGAAATAAAGCCGGCGGCTACGAGAAAATGCGAAAAACAAGCCAAAGGTTGCGAATTTGAATGGCACGCATCTCAATGGAGTGATGTAAGTGGATTTATATTTATTGATAATTTGATTTTTCCAAAGGTCTGTACGTTTAGTGTTCGGCGAAATGCGGTGGTGGAATCCAAACCAGGAAAGTGGTTTGTGTACAAGAAACCGACGACGGATTTAAAAAAGTCGACCCCAACAACTGCGATGAAGGAAAGAAGTACGACGAAAGTAAAAATTGCACAGCTAAAGAAACTGTGTGTCCAGGCGAATGGTTTACTGGGCCTTGGACTGAGGTAATCCAAACATTATATATTAAGACAAGTTTTTCATAATAAATTGTTTTAGTGTTCTGAGAAGTGTGGAGGTGGTGTAAAAGCAAGAAAAGTCATTTGCATGCACGGGGAAACAGTGGTAACTATTAAAGATTGCGATGTAGATGCCACACCGCTTAGTACTGAAGAATGTAATAAACAATTATGTGATAAACAACAACCATCAAGTAGTTCCACGGAAGGAATAGAAATTTCTGAAGCTCCAGCTGAATTATCGACCCTCCCAGAAAAAGAACCCACAGATAGAGATGTTGAACTTGTCGAAGACGACTACGAATTAGTAGATGACGATATTTGCGAGGATGGGGAATTTGTAATGATTGATGATAAAGAAAAATACATAGAAATTGGAGTAGCTGTTGAATCGCACGTAGAAACGAAAGAAGCCACTCTCTCCTCAGATTATATAATGATGAGTGACTCCACTTACGTAAGCCATTCTTCATTTAGTACAGATTATGGTTCTGGTGATTATGAATACACAAAGTCAACAACCGGAGATTTAGGATCGACAGCTTTCGATACAAGCATATCTGAAGGTTCTGGAGATGACACAACTTACTTTAAATCTTCTGCAGGATTCACCGGTACAACAGAATTTGAAGGAAGCGGTAGCGTATTTACGGATGTTAGCGAAGCATTGACGACAACTCTTAGTTGGGAAATCACGACCGTTGAACCAGAGGGCGTTTCTGAAATCAGCACGGAAAAAGAAACCATTTTGTCGACTATTGATGAAGCTGAAACCACCACGACTCATGAAGTAACCGCTATGACTCAAGAAAGCACCAAAGAAACTGATGTAAGCCATGAAGATGATACAACGTCTGTGAAATCAACTGATGGAACAACGACTTTAAAATCAACTGATGGAACAACGACTCTAAAATCAACTGATGGAACAACAACTTTAAAATCAACAGATGAAACCACGCCTTTAAAATCAACAGATGAAACCACTACTCTTAAATCAACTGATGCGACGACAACAATCAAAGATAGTGAGGAAGAAACAACGTTATCAAGTATAAGTGAATCTGAAACGACAGAAGGAATTACTGAAACAACAACAATTGAAGTAACACAACCAACTGACGTAACAACTACAGAAGTGGAATCCACGACACATGAAACGGAACAAACGACGGAAAAAGAGATAACAACTACATCAAAAACAGATTCTACCACTCCAATAGAAGAAGAAACTGATGATAATATACCAGTTGAAGTCGACCCAGAAGACATTACAGAAGACACTCCAAAAACAACTGTATCTGAAAAAGAACTTGAAACATCGACTGCTATGTCGGAGATTCCTACCTCTACAGATTCAGATTTAACAAAAGCAACAGAAACAGAAACGACCATCATAGAAACAACGGGAACAACAGATCACGCTCAAACAACAGTAAGTGAAGCAACTCTTAAAGAATCTGAAAGTACATTAGGATCGACCGAAAGTACAACTCCTCAAACAAAAGAAACTGAAACAACCCTTAAAGAATCAGAAACTTCGTTAGGATCAACTGAAAGTGTCCCTACTGAAACGTCATCAGATAAAGTAACTTCAGAAGAAGATGTAACTGATAAAACAGTAACAACTGAGTCAGTGGGTACAGAAACGAGCGTTACATCTGTAGTTGAAGGAACTGATAAGACCGGAAAAACTGAAGAAAGTTCCACTGTTGATACTGATAAAACAACGATTGAAACGGATGGGTCTGAAGTTACAAAAGAATCAATAGGTACTGATGTTACTGAAGAGTTGCCGAGTACCACCACAATCACAACTGAAATTCCAATTGTGGCAACCACAGCTATGCCTCGTTCCACTAAACCAGGAATTGACGAAATCTTCCCAACCAAACCCAAACAAAAAATGTGCAAGAGAAGGAAGAAGTCTCATTGTAAAGAAACTGAATTTGGATGTTGTTCTGATAAAGTTACTGCTGCTAAAGGACCGTTTAATCAAGGTAAGATTTCATAAAGTTACTTACCAAAAATATTTATCTTTTTATATCTTTCCATCAAGGTTGTCCAACTCATGAAACGTGCAATGAAACTAAATACGGTTGTTGTGAAGATGGTGTTTCTCCAGCTGAAGGAAAAGGATTCAAAGGTTGTCCTGATTCCCAATGCAGTGAGACCCTATTTGGTTGTTGTCCGGATAATAGAACTCCAGCCGAAGGAAACGACAATGAAGGATGTCCACCTTTATGTGCATCATCACCGTAAATTTATTTTAAAAAAGTAGTGATATATTCCTTGCGTTTATAAATTTTAGGTTTGGTTGTTGCAAAGATAATACAACGCAAGCAACGGGTCCTAATGAAAAAGGTTGTCCCGAAGAAAAAGAAGATAAAGAAGTCACAGATCCTCTTTCAACAACGGAAAGTCTCAGCACCGAGACTACGGAAGAATCCGTCGATTGTAACATTTCCGAATTTGGTTGTTGTCCAGATGGAGTTAAAATCGCTCAAGGAGAAAACTTTAAAGGATGCGATATCTTTAAAGACGATTGTAATGAATCTCTATATAAATGTTGCCCTGACGGAGTTACTTCAGGTAAGAATAAAAGAAATTGTTACAGTTGTTATTGTATTTAATTTTGTGATTTTAGCTCGAGGTCCAAATTATAAAGGTTGCGAAACCGAATGTTCTAAATCTACATTCGGATGTTGCCAAGATGGTATCACTCCAGCTCACGGTTATCTTGAAGAAGGGTGTTGCCTTTCCTCTGCTTACGGTTGTTGTCCAGATAATATTAAAGAAGCCCAAGGACCCAACTTCCGTGGATGCAGTTGTCAAAATTCTCCGTATGGTTGTTGTCCCGACAACACCACATCCGCTAAAGGACCCGACAATACCGGATGCGGTTGCCAATATACTCCTCATGGTTGTTGTCCTGACAATTATACTCCTGCTACTGGAGCTAACTTTACAGGATGTCTCTGCCACACTTATCAATTCGGTTGCTGCGCAGATGGTGTCACCATCGCCCAAGGAATGTATCAGCAAGGTTGTGGTTGTAAAGATACTGAATTCGGTTGTTGCTCCGATGATGAAACTCCTGCGGAAGGACCTAACTTCGAAGGATGCAATTGTGCATCCTCTAAGTTTGGTTGTTGTTTAGATGGGGTTAGTGAAGCCCAAGGAGAAAACTTTGACGGTTGTAAAGAAATACCAGAAAATCTCCAAGGTACTATAATACAAATACAAAAAATGTTTGATTAAAAAAACTATATTAAATTATACTTTAGCTAGTTGTAGTCAAGAAAAAGAAAGAGGTCCTTGCAGAAACTATACTGTAAAATGGTTCTATGATATGCAGTACGGCGGATGTTCAAGATTTTGGTACGGTGGTTGTGAAGGAAACGGAAATAGATTCAAAGATAAAAGCGAATGTAACACACTTTGCGTCGAACCCAAAGGAAAAGATCGCTGCAAACTGCCGATGGTTGCTGGCCCATGCGAAGGATATTATCCTCAGTGGTATTATGACAAAGAACGAAATCATTGTGCGCAATTTATTTATGGCGGATGTCTTGGAAATAATAATCGGTTTGAAACTGTTGAAGAATGTAATAATTTATGTGTTAAAGATAGAAACATTGGTAAGATAAAAAATATATATTCTCATACAAACCATAATTATCTAATTACCTGTTATCACCAGACGCTTGTGATCAACCTCTCGAAGAAGGCCCATGTCGTGGTAATTTCTACAAATGGTACTTTAATAAAGAAGAATCTTCTTGTCAACCATTTAGATACGGTGGTTGTGATGGAAATAATAACAATTTCGATTCTGAGTTAGCATGTAAACAAAAATGTGATCAAGCAGGCCGGAAAAAAGGTACCTTTTTAATTATTTTAACACTAAGTTATGGTTGATGGATTATAAACAATAATAATAATTTTTGGTGATATGTTTTGTGAAATGCGTAGTTTAACTAACGGTAGAAATTAACATTATCTTTAATTGAATTTTGCCAGAGCACTGCTCGCTTCCAAGAGTACAAGGTAATTGCACAGAGCGTGTGTCCCGCTGGTACTATGACACGGCGGAAAAACGTTGCATGCCCTTCTATTATTCCGGTTGTAATGGTAATAATAACAACTTTGACAGCGAGTATCAATGTGAAATTGATTGTCCAAAAGATATCGGTAGGTACACTTTTATAGCATGATTCTAAATATTACATAATGTTGCATAAAAACTTTATTATGTTATGGTTATGGTTGTCAGCACAATATTACAAATTAAAGTTTCTAATAGTTTTCATATTATTAAATAGTTAAACACACTTGCCATCTTCCTGCTGACCTTGGAAATTGTAGTGACTACCGCGAACGGTGGTATTACGATACTACAAAGAAGGAATGTAGAAGATTTTATTATGGTGGATGTGGGGGAAATGGAAATAACTTTGAAACTGAGGAAACTTGTAAGGCAAAATGTCCTGAAGATACTCAACCTGAATCGACTTCAGTTGAACCAAAAGTAACCACTCAAGAACCAAGGAGTGAACAAACTGAACATAGTGAACCATTCCTATCAGAATTTTGTTTCTTACCGAATGAAGCTGGACCGTGTCGACAATCCGAAGCTCGGTGGTATTATGATAGAGACGGAGCTTGTAAACGTTTCTTATATGGAGGGTGTGAAGGAAACAGGAATAACTTTAAAACTGCCGAAGAATGTGAACAGAAATGTGATAATGTACAAGGTAACATTTTTGTTATTATTCAAAATCGTCCTTTTAATAATCTAAAATTGTATTCTTAGATTTGTGTTCATTACCAAAAGTTGTTGGGCCATGTAACGGAGAATACAATCAATGGTACTACAATCAAAGTACAGATATGTGCGAACAATTTGTTTATGGAGGCTGTACTGGTAATAAAAATAGATTTGAAGATCAACTTTCCTGTGAACAAAGATGCCGAAGAGGTCCTCCTACCGTCACCCAAGAACCACCCGATGCTGGCCCAAGAGAATCAGATATAGATTTAAGCACAATTTGTTATAAACCTATTGACCAAGGGTTTAGCAATTGTACCGATAACATCCCTGCATATTATTATGAGGCAAGAACTGGTAAATGTTTAGCTTTCACTTATACCGGATGTGGAGGAAACGCAAATAGATACAACACAGCAGAACAATGTGAACGACAATGCGGAACCTTTAGAGGACAAGGTAAATATTAATACAACGCAAGTATTATTAAATTATTTTAAAACCTAAATTTTTGTTTTTAGATGTGTGTAGTTTACCTAAAGATGTAGGTCCATGTCGTGCTCTACTTCCTAAATTCTTCTTCGATACGTCAATTGGTCAATGCGCACCGTTTTATTATGGTGGTTGCGAAGGAAACGGAAATAGATTTAGTACAGCAGAAGAGTGTCAAGCTATTTGTGTTGCAAGGGAAGAAGAAAAACCGGAAAAACCAAGCAGCGGTAAGTACTAAATCTTAGAAAAGTAATTGCGATTACTCCGCCTGAATATAATAAAATTCCAAACGATGTTGCCCCTTTGTAAATATGTACATATTGTTAATTTATGTAAATATATATAAAAAATAACACACCTCTACAGAAATATGCCTCTTACCTGCCGCAATTGGTAATTGTCAGAACGGTGATCATAAGAGATGGTTCTTTGATGAAGCTAGAGGCGAATGCATGGTTTTCATATACAGCGGATGTGGTGGTAACTTTAATAGGTTTACAAGTTTGCAGGAGTGTCAGGAAACGTGTCAGGAATATATGACCCCCGTCTACCATCGTAAGTTTTCTGGGCGAATTACTACTGCTGCAGCTTCATCGCTTTTTTTATAACAATAATACGCAATCTTTTATTTTAAGTGTATTTATCTTAGTACTTACAGAGTGATTCAGTATAAATGCGACAAATTTAAGAGGGAGTTGTATGGAACTCTATCAAAAATTAAGGACAGTTTCATAAAATTATAACATTACAAATAATTTTCTACAAATTATCACCTCTTTAACTTTGTCGCATAAAATATAATATGTTTAACTATAGTGACTATTTTAAACCAAATCTAAAATATTTCTGCTTTCCTAATTTCTAGCTCATCCACCAACACATCAGGAACCAACATCAATGGAAAACCCATGCCAAATTTACACTGATCAATGTAAAAAGATGGACTGTCCGTATGGAGTTAAAGCTTATGTTGATGACAATCAATGTAATCGTTGTAAATGCGATGATCCATGTGAAGGATTTTTATGTCCAGATAGATCCCTATGTGTAGTTGAAGTGAATCTACATAAAACAGATGGAAATGATGCCAACTTTATTGGAGTATGCAGAGAGTGTATGTGTTATTATTCTGATAAACCTTAAAGTTAAATATATTTTCCCGTTTCTAGTTAATAAATCTGGCGAATGTCCACCTATACCACAACACACAAATGCTTGCGACAGAGAATGTTACACTGACGCCCAGTGTCCTTCGATATTGAAGTGTTGCTCGAACGGATGTGGAACTCAATGTATTAGACCAATTGATGATGTCACACCTCCTGCAGAACTTAAGACACCTTCTTATCAAATACCACCAATCACAGAAATTCCATCTATTCCATCTCATTGTAAGAAGTTGGTGACTTGAAGAGAGGGGCGTGTTAATTATAAAATTGCTTATTTATTTACTTAGATTACCCTCCTCAAATTATCGAAAGTGAATTCCAACCGGAAATAACCGCTGGTGAAGGTGATTACGTGATGTTAAGATGTGCCATTTCTGGAAATCCAAATCCCACTATTTCATGGAAGAGAGGTGATTTAATGGTAAGGTCATGTCAAAAGAACCATTTTTTACGTAACTTTCTAAATACAGAAGTAATTCATGATATTCCTTTGATGCCCATGTCCAATTATTTTAACTATAACACGTTATGAGTAGATATTCAAGTACCTGTTTTAGTAGTTACAGTGTTAAATGAATAACGTTTACTAAACTTAAGGTTTTCAGCAAGAGAAATAATTTTAAATAATAACAAACGTTCAAATTAGTTACTCTGCTTATCAAATTTTTAATCAGTACATGTTAATGGCAATATAGCGATAAAAGCAGTATAATTGTATCACCGTCTCATAATCAAAGTCATACAAATTTATCGCCATTTGCTTAACTGACGTGTTGATTTATCTAGCCATGTTCAGACAAATTTGCTTATCTCTCTTACACCTACTAAGAAATATTCTTAGTGACCAAAACAATAATTTTTACACGGTTCTTATGAGGAAGAGAGGATTTCCCGAAAAGATTGCATTTAGACCCGATGTGTAATTTAGATTCAATTGTAATTAAACTTTTAATCTTTTTCTTTGTAGTTTAATATATCTGTGCTTTACTATCCATATACATGAATTTGTTCTACGAAACAGTATGTCGTGAAATTGCAGACACTTTATTCATATGACTTCTCAGGTCCATTGCGGGATCGTGAGTAGTTGAGATGTGCACACACAAGGAGGAACTCCATGACTTGTTCGATAGGGTGTTGTTGACTACCAGCTTGTATCTTATTGTCTCCATTGCTACCAGCATGCATTCAGTTTTTGAAGTAGAACATATCATGGTTAGGTATCCGCTCGCTTTAAGCATATAGCATATTATGCACATTTTCTTTTGGCCTATTTTGTATCCTAGGTTCGGTTATCATTTTCTCGATATTTTACCCATTAAGAAAGTGAACAAAAATGTGATGTGGATTTCACCTTGTCGGATGCCACTTCGTTCGAGGATGTCTTCAGTTAATTTTTTTCTGGGCTTTACTTTAGTCGTGTTGTTAATGTTGAATTTATGTATTATGTTTATGATGTCAACTAGTACTCCTCTTTGTATCAGCAGGTTCAGATTTTTTGTCTAAAAGTGCTATTCAAGATATCATCTTCATTCAAGACTTATTCCATTTGGATTTGCACTAGTCTGGGAATAAAGACTGGCAGATTTCAAAATACACAGAATGAATAATTGTAATACAACATAATAGTTTTTGTGATATAAAAACGATGTTTCTTTTTAAACGCAATAATTTATAATCAAAAAATAAAGAATATTTTTCAAAATTTATAGTTAGTTACAGTTTCCATCAGGAGAAATAATGAAATTTAATTTATGAAATTACACTGGCCAAAATTTAAATGCATGAAAATCGTAAGAACTAGACTGGCTAAACTGTAGTTTGATAGAAGAAATTCTGGAATCACGCTATAAACTGTAAAAAGAAGTTCGGAACTGTTTTAGACTTCAGCAACAAATCGAAAGTTACACTCTGCAACTTTACAGTCAAATCGAATATTAGATTGCATCCATTTCAGATTCACGAACAGGCTTGGAATCATACTATTCCGATTTAAACTGCAAGTAAATATTTGGATTTACTCTGACCAGACTCTACGTTACATGAAAATGTTTGAAATTACGCTGATTAATCTCAAAGTTGCAAGAAGTAGCATGGAAAATTATCTGTTATTCGGTTTCTTCTTGTCACCTATCATCTTCAACAATCATCGTTGTTAAATACAGTTGTAGTAAGATTTTTAAATATTGTTGCTGAATAAATTCTTCAACAACAAATTTATCTTCATAGTACATGAATGCTAACAATTCAGCAATACTGTTATTCGTGAAATCTTGTTAGTCTTAATAACTGCTTTTAGAAACTTTATTCAACGTTCTTTAATTTCTTTTTTTGCTTGGATTAATGGAATATAATTACATGTTTACTCTGCTAAAACGCAGTATTATGTATATTCAGTTAGGCTTTCTATTTCGAATTTTACTTCTAATGCTTCTTCTAAATTCAACTGTCCAGAAATGGCAGATTGATTAAGCAAAAGCAATGCCGACCACATCTGTGTTATCAGAAGTAGACATAGGAGTACCAGAATGATTCAAGTTTTGAATGGAAACAAATAACTCACTTGTAATGATTGCAGAAATGAGGAGGTAGTCCTTTTAGGTTGTCTATTATATCTTTAATGCCATGCACTTATCTGGTAAAGTGTTAATATATTTAAGAAAATTATCAGCATTGTTTCAACCAGTTGGCTGCACGACACCATTCAACCCTGGAGCTCTTTTAAGCATAAACAACTTAAAAATTTTACATGGAAATATGAGATATGGACGCAAAAATGTATCATTGTACTTAAAATGAAAAAAATGTATCGTAGTACTTGGCAAAATGGTAGTACTTTGGTTACATCTGCTTCTTTACACTTGTACATACTCTTGAATTTAATTATTCTACCATAAATTACATAAACTTTAAACGTCATTCTACTTACTTAGATTTCGCTATCTTTTGAATAGCACCAATCCTTTTTATTTATGCTGATATAAGAGACTTCTGTTTGTAATGAACAATCAATTATTTTTAACCCACTCTACATCCTGTTATAAAGAACGTTCTTAAAGTAACCCTAACACTTGAAATATACTTTTACACTTTAAACCGTGACATCATTTTAATTAGAATAGGTTATTTAAGTTGATTAGTTAAATTCGAATTTCCCAAATAGCCTATATTGTTTAATAAGTACTTATTTTGATTGTAAAATTTCTTTCAAGATTGATGGAACAGAACCAAGGTATAGGTTAACATTAGATGGTGCGGCACTTCAAATTATTTCTCTTTACAAAACGGACTCAGGATTGTACCTTTGTACTGCAGACAACAAAATTGGACGGCCATTAACAAAAGAAATTAGACTGGTCGTTGAAGGTAAGACTTTTATTTTTCAACTTAAAAATCTAATTGTTTGTACAGTATTAATTTAATTATCTTATATTGGTGATTAATTTTCTTTTTTCGATTTAATTCTTAACTTTTTCTGTTTTTATTTTTACTAACTTTCTTCTTCTACCTTTCTTAATAAACTTAGACCCAGTAGAAGGTCCCGCACGAATTCTAGACGATCCAAGCCTCGCCAGTGTAACAGTTACCTTAGGCTCACCAGCTACGTTAAATTGTTACGTATACGGCTATCCAAGCTCTGCGGTAGCATGGTTCAAGGATGCCGAGCTAATTCCAATGAAAACGGAAGAATTTACCATCAACAAAGATAGTTCATTATTTATTAACGCAGTGAGATTGCGAAATTTAGGTATCTACACCTGTCAGGCTTATAATGGAATTGGAAAAGCATCGACTTGGTCGGTAACCGTTCAAGCTTTGGGTCCAGTTTATAGTACAGATGCCAATGATAAGAAATATATGAAATATGTTATCGATCGACCGAAAAAGCCAGACGTTACACCTCATCCTATGTATCCTTTTAGACCCAATCGACCCACTGTTGGGTTTACTCCTTCTACTTATCGTCCTGTTCCTACCACTACTAGTATTATAACAACTACTACTACTACTCCAAGACCTAGACCTAGAATAGGTAAATGTTCGAAATTCTTAAAACTGCTTGTAAATAAACTTGAATTGTGAACATTGCTTGCTTGTATGAAATAAAAATGCTTTAGCTATGAAACATTGATTAAATCGGAAATTTTTAAAAGGGCTCTAAGTTCGTTTCTAAAACTTTTTAAAATTGCCGATGCCTTTTAAAATGATCTACTAACAATTTGTTATTAACATTATTATTTTTATTTAGTTCCTGTAACAGCGAACATCACATTAAAAGATACGAAGTTCCCATTAAACACCGACATCCATATTCCTTGTAATGTTGATGGATATCCATTACCGCACGTTCAGTGGTACAAAGATGGAGGGCCGATTTATCCGAACGATCGTATTGAAATAACGGCGAATTATCGATTGATTATAAGAAAAGCAACGGAATCGGATAGTGGTGAATACCGATGCGAGGCGAAAAATGAGCATAGTTCAGCAACAAGTACAACTCCCGTTTTAATTAGAGGTCAGTTATAGAATTTAACATATCAAAAATAATCTTTCATTTCATATTTTTTAGGTCAACTGATTCCAGCAAATTGCACAGATAACGCATTCTTTGCCAATTGTAAACTGATTGTGACGGGAAAATTCTGCAACCATGCCTATTATGCGAAATTCTGTTGTAAATCTTGTACGGAAGCGGGTCAATTGAATGAGCTACAAGGCGACCAACCTGCATCTCTTATAGATAGCAATTTAGTTTAACGGAGAATGATTAAAAAACCCTAGTCCGAATGATAAAGCTATGATTTGCCATCATTAACAGAACTAAGTAAAAGCCCCAAGAATCTATTTTTATAAGATTGTTACCTATAGTCCTCTTTTTTGTTCTTTTTGTAAGTCAATCATCGTCAACGGATGTAAATCGCGACACTTTGTAATATAGATATTTAATTATAACTGATATTGTAATTGTAGTAATTTTGTCCTGTGTAAGTTCACAATGACCCGCTATTATGTCTGTGCAATCAATCTAAGCGAATCATGTATATATATTCTATTATTATTTGAAACAATAAAGATTAAACTGTATAAAAAATGTGTGTTCAGGTATACGTCGTTATTAATACATTGTATTATTTAAAATTATATAAAAGAAAACAATAAGCTGTGTTTTATCAACTTTGGCTGTTTTATTTTCATCATAATATTCATCAAAACAACCAAATCACATTATTTTAAATAAAATTGTTACATTAACAAATAATTAAATTCTGACCTTTGTTCATGAAGAAAACTTAAAAAACTACTTCCAAATTAAAATATTTAAACCACACTATTTATTATTTAACATGTAATTTCTCATATTTATTAATTACATTACTATAATCAAAGCAAATTATTTTCAAAACACCTGTTACTTTAACATTTCTTATTAAAATTATCTCCACTCTCAATATACAGGGTAATTCACATAACAACCGACACAGAGCAGGGACATGTAGAGGACAATAAATTAAGATGATTTAACGCAACTTATCTCTATACTAAGCTGTACCCCTGAGGAGTTATAGGACTTCAAAGTTGGGTATAAAATTAGCTACAAAATCAAAATATGGTATCTATATGTATATTAAGATCTTCCGCTAGCGCAACAGCTATTGAATCTGAAAACTCACACCTAAACTTGAAAAAATAGTTGCATTTATTTTGTTACAGGCCAAGGTAGTTTAATATTGAAACAAGTAAATGCTTACAAATGGGCCAAAACTTGATGATTTACGTACGTTTAATGTTAGCCATGATACAAGATCGTACAAATCAGAGAGGTCCTGCAAGCGAGGCGGTTAGACAAAATGAGAAAAACTGTTAGAACGTTCATGCCGCCAAAATTCAATTTCGAGTCTCAAAACTACATGGAAATAATTAACTGGATGGAGAATAATAATATCTTCTCCTGCACTATTAACACTGCAGTAATCGCGCCTCCGGTTATTACAAGAGTCATCTCTAAGATGACTATTCAATGCATGCAAAAGTATTAACTGATTAGTCCAGACAGACTGTCTACGTCATCTCTTAGATGACATGCGACTATTGGAGTGTTAAGAGTTATCCCCTAATTGGGATGTAATACACAATTTCCAGTTCACACATAAGCCGTTGAACGATGCGTGAAACTCGTCACAACAGCCTCAGGGAAAGTTTGCGGAGTGTGTAATATAGATGGTTTTTCAAAATGAGTTTCTCTAACTTACGACACTTCACACAAAACTTATTTTTTCTTTTCAACATACAAAATTTTTTTTTTGTATCTTCTTCTGAACCCAACCGATGACATTCCTGCTGATATCTTCAAACACGAAAAGTAGTAAGTTCGCCAATGGGTACATTGAAATGAAGGGGGGTGCCCCCTTAACCTTCAGCGTAATAATGCAACAGCCACCATAAATACATATTGTTACCACCCTCCAACCTTATCAAGTTCACAATATATACAAATTGAGTCAAGTTCGCAAAATTAGTTAGTGCTCCTGAGAGAAGCACGTAAAATTATAGAAAGAACAATTTTATTTTCGCCATTCTTCAGTAATGTTGCTGTGACAATGCTAACATGTGATGTGTGTGACAAAGTGTTCACCCTTTCTGATAACTTACGGAGACATCAACAAACAACATGCAATGGAAAACGTCAAAAGGTTGATGATGCTCATCAGTGGGATTATTATGTAAAGTATGTGATAAATATATATGTGGATGAAGTTAGATTCATATTCGAATCTGTACTAGATTCAGATTCATACAATTACAGTTGACCAGACAAGTATTGAACATATTAATTGAAAAATCGTTTTCTGAAACTACAGAAGTTGTAGCAATCTGCGACTACGCTGGATAATTCGAATAGACCCTCTAGTATGTTCCCTGTCTACCCTCACCCTCAGATTTACGTAGAGGCAGAGTGATGAATAAGTCAATTTCCTTGGAAAAACACATTAAATCAAACGAAAATTGATTAGGGGATATAGTTGTATAATCATATATTATACAACAAGACGATCGAAAATACTCGATAATACGAGACGTATTGGTTGAAACACCACGAGACCGAAGGTCGAGTGGTGTTTTTTAAGGCAATACGTCGAGATTCGAGTATTTTCGATTGTCGTGTTGTACAGAGTGTCCCGCAACGATTGTACAATACTGCATCAGCGTATTCTCTGATCGAAAACAGACAAGAAAAGTCTAATAAACATAGGTCCGAAAATGGACCAATTTCGAGATATTCAAAGTTTTAGTTTCATAAGCTGACCTATTGTAAACATCATTAATTCTAACGATTTAGATGCAGTAATTATATGATTACCATGGTTACGATGGTTAAGATAAAGTTTAATAAATAATAAGATAATATTAAGTTAATTAATACAGTTCATTAATAATTTAACAAAACAAGTAACAAAGATTGTCGAAGAAAATCGTTCAACCAGCATAAAAACAACGAATATTTAACAAATTGGAAAAGATTCATGTCATAATAAATGTTCAATATGCGCACCATTTACTTCTAAACACAAACGGATACGTTTTCTAAATGAACTTCTAATGCGTTCAAAGATACCAGGAATTTGTTTTACTGTGTCAAATGCGTTACTAATTTTATTCTTCAAATCTTGCACATTTTGAACGTCTTCAGAATAAACAATTTGTTTTAAATGTCCCCAAAACCAAAAATCTAACGAATTTAAATCTGGTGAACGAGGTGGCCACGGGACAGGACCTCCTCGGCCAATCCACTTATTGCCAAATCTGTTATTTAAGTATGGTCGAGTAGCGCGTGTATAATGTGCTGGTGCTCCATCGTGTATAAAGTAGCAATCTTCTAGAATTTGTTGAGGTAATTCATCAAATGCCTCTGTAAGGTCATTTTGTAAAAAATGTATGTAGGCATCGGCTGTCAATCTCTTTGGAAGAAAAAATGGACCTAATAACTGATCACCTATAACTCCAGCCCATACATTAACACTGAATCGCCACTGATGATGAGTTTCTAGTATTGCATGGGGATTTTCATCGCTCCAAACGTGCGCATTATGAATATTAAAAATTCCGCTTTGTGTAAATGTTGCTTCATCCGTAAATACAATGTTTATGGGAAAGTCGACGTTTACTACCTCTTCCTGTATGGCCCACCTACAAAAAATCTCTCTTTTTTCGCCATCATTTTCTGTTAGAGCTTGAACGGTGTTGTAATGATAAGGATAAAGCAACTGCTCCCTTAAAATGCGGTGAACGGTTGTTTTGTTAATGTTTTCTTGTGCAGAAATTCTTCTAATGCTGGTTGAGGCATTTTCATCGACTCATCTCAAAACTGCTTCTTCTAATTCCACCGGCCTTGTGTAATGTCTCTCCGTGGAATGGCTGTGGGTTACGCTTCCCGTTTCTTTTAATCTGAGAAATAGTCTGCTAAAGGTGTGACTATTACGCAATCGTCTGTTCGGGAACCTTTGCGCGTAATGACGAGCTGCTAACGACACATTTCCATCAGCTATTACTATTTTTTTTTTGATTAGACAACTTATCGTAATCATAGTAATGACTTAATTATTATAAAAACAAATCTAAATTCATGATGTTAACAATATCAACTTATGAAACTAAATCTTTGAATATCTCGAAAATGGTCCATTTTCGGACCTATGTTTATTAGGCTTTTTTTGTTTATTTTTGATCATAGAATACGCTGATGCAGTTTTGTACAATCGTCGCGGGACACCCTGTATATGGCTAGACTATTTCATGAATAAAAATATACATACTTTTAGAATTTTTATATTTTTTTAATAAATTACATTGATTGTTATGGAAACATTCATGGATGTCTCGAACTTAATTAAATGTCAAACAAGCGATAATACAAAGGTTCGTATTACAGCGATAATACAAAGGTTCGTATTATCGTTCTCCATGGTTACGGCCAAATAACCGCTGAAATACTGGCAATTGCCGGAAAACCCCGAATTCTTATTGGCTGTTAACGTTATGAATGAAATAGTCACTATAAATGGCGACAAAAATTTGATGTATTAGCAAACCCATATATTTTCAAAGAATTTGTTTCATCTTCTGACAACAAATGTTCATTCAAACACAGAATATCAAAATTATTATCTTTGGCAAAAATTTCAAGCTGCAAGTTTTTACCATTAAGACCCTGTATATTATAGTGTAACATTTTAATTGTCTTACACGCCATCATCGCCCGGATTAACAAACTTAACACTAATTTCATTATCATATACGCCATAAGCTAGTTTACTGTTACAAATGGATTTAGGTAACAAAAATTATGATCAGAACAATCGATTTCAAATCTTTCTTTTCAAAAATCAACATAAATCAACAACATGTTAAAACTTCTTAGAATATTTACAAGAAACTATTACTTACACTAAATACTTAACCAAACATTATACGCTTAACGAAACAGAACGACTCGAAAGATTTGACCATTCGGCTGATTATGTCCTAATCTAAAGGTCGAAACCGGTACTGAGGAAATTTACAAATAAAACAGGAAAGAAGTTTTTTATAGTGTTTTTTTATTAATAATACCTTAATTAAAACCTGCAACATGGATTCTATCAAATTTACTTCTTAAGTTCTAAGGAACATGTAAAAATAAAATCATTTAATACAAGGAATAAAATTATAACATTAGCTTTGATCTTTACAATACGTATAATGAATTTGTAGATGAAATTAAGACGAAAATGTCGGAATTTCAAGAAAGAGACTCAGGTAAGTTAATATTCATAAATATTATCGACATTATGAGGTAATTAAATTATACAGAGTGGTCCGTTACTAATGGGACACAGAGTAACAGCGAATTCCTTACATTAAATTATTACTATTTAACCCAACTTATGTTAGTCTAATTGTTAATAATAACGAAGATACAGATGGTTACAGATTAAGACGTAAATGTCGGAATTTCAAGAAAGAGACTCAGGTAAGTTAATATTCATAAAATAAATATTATTAACATTACGAAGCTAATTAAATTATATAATGTTACAGGTTGGACTTTAATAGAGATTTTATATTTAGTAGTAAACTGCAACAAGTACAACCCTACTGGAGCATCTAGCTATTGCAACTGAATGAAAAAAAAACAC